TCAATATCCTACTTGGCTTGGGGGGTAGGAAATGGTAGCAAGAGATGAGCTTCTCTTCCACTCCTACTTATTTTAAAATGTTAGTGCTTCCAAGAATTCTGTTCCAGTCCTCTTCTCTATTTACTCCAGAATCGAGTTTCCAAAATAATGCCATTTAAATCTATTGCTTCAAATACTTCCTACGTACTGATGGCTTTTCTGTTTCTCCTGAGCTCATCCTCACATATACATCTACCTAAGGGACATCTTAAACTCATCATCTACCTACTAACACCTGCTCTTGCTTTGCTATTCTGTATCATAATATACAGCAAGGGACTCATTCAGTCATGCCATCCAGGAGCCCACGATGCCTGACTCCTTCTTCTCCTTTATCTAGCAATTAAGTTTTATTGATTCTACAATTTAAATCTCTCTCAAATCCATCTGATTTCTCTCTTCATTCCTGACTGCCACTACCTTAATTCAGGTCTTCACTATTTCTTGCTGAGATTATGGCAACAGCTTCAGAACCAGTCTCCCTGTCTCCATTCCAGCCCACCTGTAATCTATCCTTCTACTGTTCTCTGAGATACTTCTAAAAATCTGATCATTTCCTTGTCTAGCTTAAGTCTACAATGGCTCAGAACTGCTTAAAGGACAAAATTGAAGCTTCTTAGTAAAATATACAAAGCCTCTTATGATCAAGTCTATATCTATCTCTCCAGCCTCGATTCTTACCACTCACCCTGAGGTCATTTATGCGTTGAAACTGTTATTGACCTAGTTGTAGTTTCCAAATTTATGATGGCTTGTCATGCATCCATGCCTCTGTCAACGCTGCTCCCTCTGTATGGAATACCTTTTCTAACTTCATCCACTTGATTAATCCCTACTCATTCTTCAGGATTCAGCTCTTCTACATTCCATAGCACCTTGTATGTGGCTCTATTTTAGTGCTTTTACTTTTTTAAATATATAATTGGATGTTTATCATTCTATCTCCTTTTAGACTATGAGCAAGAATTATGCTTTTCAACTTTATATGTCAAACACCTGACATATAGTAGACACTCAATAAATGGCTGCTACATAACTGAATGAGCCCCTTTCATTTTGAAAATGAATAGCACCAATACAAATTCCCATTTTTCCTAACAATAGTAAGTGCAATTACAATTACATATAGTTAAAGACACTTTCTTTCAAGAAACAAAGAAAATACCTCACAGTTGCTTTCCTCTCCTAAACTACTTGGACATTGCATCAAACTTTGTATTTTCACAAGAGGAAAGTAGAAAAAATGAGATTGAGAAAACAGAAAGAAAATAATTCCTAGACTATTTATTTGATAATCTCAGTCCTCTTGCTTATGGAATCCTCGAAACTAATGTTTAATAAACTACTAATTTTAGCCAATCAAGTTACCAAAGGAAAATGAAACAAAACAGATTTTAAGAGGTAGTAAACTGCGGAAAATTGAAGAGAACATTTACACAGGGAGCCAAGGAATTTAAGCTTATGTTCCGGTACTTGTTCTTGGTAGGTACATGGATAAGTCACAATCCCTCAGTTTTCTCTCTTCATTTTTAACACAGAAATAACAACAGTACAGTTTCATAAGATTGTTGTGAGAAGTACACAGTTAATCCACACAAGATAAGCCTGGAACAACTTGCTATACCAGCTAGCAAGAAAGCTATCAAAGACTAATTCTAGGCTTGTGCCAAAGGACTGAAGAGGCTCACACTGGTCAAAGATAGGACAATTTAAGCATCAGTGAGGACAATAACTGCAATAGATTAAAAATATCAAAGAATTTAAATACCTAAGTTCATAAAATGACATTAAAAAACAAACACACAACTAACTGACTACCTTGGGAGGATACTACGGAACCAACTCCTTATTCTGAAAACTAGTAATAAAGGGAAAGCATCATGCAGACAGATGAAATGAAGATTTTCTTTATAGAAATACTCTAACAAATAAATGGAAAAGGGAGAGTTGGAAGGGTACCATTTGCAAACCTCAAAAAATTAATAAATCTAGGAAATGACCATCAATGGCTGCTAACATCACAAAAGAGAGACAGCCAGATAAAAGTGCCTCTTAATGAAGAACACTACCACTTGTCTGTCAGTGTTGTACTGTGGTGGCTTGTGTGTTGCTGTGATACTGGATGCTACACCACCAGTATTTCAAATACCAGTATGGTCTCCCATGCTGGATGGGCTTCAGTGGTGCTTCCAGACTAAGACAGAATAAGAAAGGCCTGGCGATCTACTTCCAAAAATAAGCCAGTGAAAACCCAGTGGATCTCAACAGAATACTGTCCAGTGTAGTGCTGGAAGATGAGCCCCCTATGTTGGAAGGCACTCCACAATAGCCACAACAATGGACTCAAACATATCAATGGTCATGAATGTTGTGCAAGACCACACAACTTTTTGTTGTTATACATAAGGTTGCCATGAGCCACAGCCGACTCAACAGTAACTAACAACAACGAAGAACACAACACTATCTATAGTCTTGCCAAAAAAAAAAAATTTTTTTTTCACAAGAAATATAGAGGACAAAAGAATATGTTAAACTATACCATAGGGATGCAATCAGCAAAGTCCTGACTGAAAAACTCTACAGGACAAATGATAAGATTCTGATTTCAATTTCAATTAATTGAAAGAAATGAAAAAGTAAGAAAGCTAAAACGGGAATGTACATGGATGTAAGACAAAACTACAGTACTATTTAGGGATACATACTTGAGTGATAAACCTATATCTAAGAGTAAAGAAGTAATTGCCATAAAAGACAGACAGCAGTTCCCTTGAAGGGGAAGGAGGGAACTGTGATTAGGAGGGGAATGTGGTGGGCTTCTGAGGTAGCTGGCCAGGGGCTATCTCCTGACATGGGCAGTGGTAACAAGAGTGTTCACCTTATATGTAATTCATTAAGTTGTACTTTTATTTTGTGCAGCTTCCCATATTTGTGTTCCTTCAACAAAAATTTTTAATTACAATGATACTAAAAGAAGCCTTATAATCCTAATGATGACAATCAGTGTTCTTCCTGGTTCATATATAAATATGAAAAGTAGCTTTTGGAATCCTTTGGAATGTAATATTTATAATTCTTAAAGAAGAAAAAAAAATCCACTAAAGTATTTCGAACAGTGCTTTATACATAGAAAGCACTCAAGAATGTTAGATATCATTGTTATACTTTAATATTTGAAGTAAGATTAAAAAAAAAACTCTTATACTTACTTGTTTGCTGCTGTTGTGTATTAAATCCTCCAAATCCCAGTCCAGTTCCCAAACCAGTACCTAAACCAGTACTAGTTCCTGTTGTTGTGCCAAAACCAGTACCAAATCCAAAACCTTTGTTCTGAGTACCACCGAAGAGTCCTTTCAATGAAAAATTAGAATTGCATAGTTAAAAAAAAAAAAAAACTGGCCTCTACCTCATTTACTTCTAAAAATAACTTAGGATGGCCTCTTACCAGTAGTGCCTGTGTTAGTTGGAGCAGAAAAGCTGAATGCAGAACCTGCTGTTGTAGATGTTGTCCCAAATCCTCCAAACCCACCTAATAAAAAAGGATAAATAAAATAGAAAGGAAGAATCTTTTGTATACATATGAGGTAATTTCTTTTTCAAATTATTTTATAAGTAATTGCTATATATAAAGCCAAAGAATATGGATCTAATTTTTTCCTTTCTCTATTTTCAACACTAATTTTTAAAAAACTACTACTTATCAAGAAGTCAATATGTTGCAAGAAATAAGAGACTAAGTATGTAAAATAGAAATATAATATCACAATGCAATATATACCTTTTGACTAAAGAGGTGGTTAACACTGACAGCTGGGAAGCAGAGTTAGGCCTGTTGCCATAATCTGTAGTAAACTCTGAAATAACTATGTATATCCTTTTAAAGTAGGGGTAACAAATTCAAATGCCTACAAGACTCAGGCTGATAACATTACTGAGTGAGAGACTGGATGTTTACCGAGTGGTGGTACTATTCAAAGTGAACAGCCTAAGCCTTGTTTCAAAAAATGGCTGTAGTTCTTAAATTCCAGCAGATTACTACTGCAGGGAAATGCCAGTTCAGTAGTATCATACATTCCCATTTTCCCCCCAAGAAAGATAGGTAATCTCGGTTTTCTATGTGAAATTTCCTGATTTTTAAATCCTAGCAACAAATTAAAATGCTTTTAAAATAGTTTGCCAACTGACAAATAGTAAGGCAAACCTATCACACTGGCCTACTGCATTGCCAGTCTGCAACCTTAGTTTTGTGAATTAATTTATATCTACTTTAGCTTATATATTTTTTACTTTCCATCAAAACTCAGCAATTTTTCAAAGGAAATATACCAGTATACTGACCCCTATACAACAAGAATGTGTTTCTTGAAGGAAAAGAACAGAAAAACCACACAAGCGGAAAGCAGTGGCAAGAAAAGCAAGAAGAGCTATAGCAGGCCACTGAACCAGTTTGGCAGCTCTGACAGATACAGAAATTTCTTTTCAAAGAAATCCAGAGACAAAATTAACATTAACCATATCTAACTTGACAGATACACAGGAATGGAATGCTGGCCAGTCTAGAATTGTTTTATGTATATATGTATATATATATATACACACATATTTTCCCCCCGTTATGGTCAGTTTTTAACCCATTACCAACATGGCATCCAAAACTTTCAAGACAAATGTTTGAACCATTAATGCTCTCTGAGTTATGGAGCAGGTTTTCTGAGATTGAATCTCTCATGGGGCCCTGGTGGTGCAGTGGTTAAGAATTTGGCTGCTAACTAAAAAGTCAGCAGTTCACATCCACCAGCCACTCACCGGAAAGCCTATGGGGCAGTTCTACTCTGCCCTATACGGTCGCTATGAGTCAGTTTGGTTTGGTTTTTGGTTAACTTGAATGTCATTTCTGGTATGCAGGACAAAGATGTATCAATACAGTAACATAAAAGATATAAGAAAACAAATCCCTTTGACAGTAGACCATATAATTCTGATTTGTAAAATTAATCAAAAGTAAACTGCATGTTGTATGCTGCTCTTGTTGTTAGCTGCTGTCGAGTCAATTCTGACTCATAACCACCTCATGTGTACAGAGTAGAACTGCTCCATAGGGTTTTCAAGGCTGTGACCTTTTGGAAGAAGACTGCCAGAACTTACTTCTGAGGTGCCTTTGGATGGATTTGAACTGCCAACCTTTCTGCTAATAGTCCAGCGCTTAACCATCTGTGCCACCCAGGAACACCTACATTGTATGCAGGCACAACCAAACACTCTCTTTACTTGTAGGTTCTATTGCAGTACTGCAAACTGTAAACATTTTAATAAAAATCACCTAAAGTACTAAACATTGCTCTTAATCTTTTTCATTATCTCTCACTTCCACTGAATAACTACGATATATGCTGAATTGGCTCCACAATAAAAATAGTAGTCAATATCTTATCATGCTCCACTATGTCAGAAATATTTATTAGTAATAGTGACTCTCAAGGGTACAAAATAAAAAAAGCAAATAAGAATTTCTACCAGCCCTTTGCTGAAGGCTAAGTTAACTAACATATATAAAAGTACTTAAAACACAGTTACATTATCACGACTCAAAGTTTAACAGTGGTAACATCAAATGAACACTGAAATCAAGCAAATACCAACAGGTTTACTATTGTGAGCTGGGTGGCTTTATCTGGAAACAAACTAATGTGTTACCCAGTGCCAATTTTAAGCAAACAAAGAAAACATACCAAGACAGTGACATGCAATCACATCAAATACATCTTAATGATAAGGGATTATTTTATCTTTGGAATTTTCAAATATTCTTCAAACTGTTTTCAATTCAGATGCTAAGGTGATATTCATAGTGCAGTAATAAGTAAGTGTTCAAAATACCAGACTTCCCAAATAAGTTTTAGGGAATAATGTTTACCAGATGCATATAATTGGCATGGGCCTAAGTGGCATAATGTAAGAGAATACAGACAATAAATTCATATACGAGCAGCTGAAAAACAAGATTTTTCTATAGGGTCATTATATGTAAAGCACACACAGGCCTATTTTAAATTTATATATATACATATATCCATTATAGTGTGTGTTCTGCAGAATTTTTAACTAGCTTCAAATAATCCATTTAGATACCAAAATCTTCATAACTATTTGTTAGAATGCAAAAATGTCTTTCCTACCTTTTAGAACTCAATGCTGTCTGACAACAAATTAAATTGCTCTCTCAGGTCATTTCCAAAAAATCCAGTAAACAATTGGGGATTCTTTCTATAGTTGTGTATTTTATAGAAATTATGTATCCTAATCTACTGAGATGACCAAAGAAATACATTATTATTTTCAGGTTAAAACACACGACAGTTACTGCTGTTCGTATAAGACTTGTTTCTCTTGGGAAACACAAGGACAATCAATAAAATCCCAATGAAAGATGCAGGGAAAATGAAAAATGACGGCAGGAGTCCAAGAACCCCAAGAAAATGGGCCTGACCGGTGGGCTTATATTTTGGAAGAGATAGCTAATAATTTGGAAGATATGTTCTATTCAAAATAATATTCCATTCCAAACTCTTCTCATTTGGAAGCCATATTTTGTTCAATTAAATGCAAATTTAAAAAGGGAACATTATAATTTGCAAGACTTCCCAGAACCACATCTTTTAAGACAGTCAAAACTTGATACAAAAGTTTTTAATTCAACATTAGGAAATGAATTTCCTTTCCTTATTACACAACTCACTCTTCTTTCCCACACTCTAGGAACCATGAAATATTATTCTTGGACTCCGGCTTCCAACACTCGTTACACATACGGCCCGCAGTATCTACCTGCACTTGCCAGACTGTTACCAAAATTGAACGGAGTTGTCGAGGTGGTAGAAACACCGAAATTCCCAATATTAAAGTTCACTGCAGGATTAGCAGTTAATCCGAAACCCCCAAAATTAAACCCACTGGCGGTGGAGTTGGCAGTCTCAAACCCACCAAATCCTGATAGGCGTGTAGGCAAAGAAACAAACAAAAAATTTTTAAAAAAAGGAGGGAGGGAGAGAAAAAGAAAAGAAAGCAAGATAAGGATTAGAAGAATCAGCAAGAGGTTTCACAGACAAACCTACTTTCTCCAAACAGGTTAAGAAAACAGAGGAGGTAGGAACAGGCGAAAGGAGGAGCAGTGTGCCAGCAGCAAGGGCCAAAGGGGCCACGAGGAAGGGTCCCGCCCCTCGAAGGCTTAGGACAGAGGGAGCTGCAAGGCACCGCCTATGTCTCTCCAGCGCTATCCTAGCCAAATGTGGCTGCGGGAGCTACACGAGCATTCCCGCCAGTCGCCTAGGCTGAGGTGGGGAAGGGAAGGTGTGTCTCGGGCAAGGGAGAAAATGAGCCGCCTCGAGTGTCCGCGAGTCGGTTTCCACGGCAGCTGGAAACGAACCCTGGGAGGACAGGGCCCAGCGGGGGCCCAAGCGTGGCGCGCTAGCTCTGGGTTGAGCCTCTAGCCCCCAGGCCCTCCTATGGAGCCGTCTTGGCCAGCTCCGCTGCCGCCCTCCCTCTTCCGATGTCCCTAAAGTCTCCGTGCGGGCGAGAGATCCCAGGGTCTCCAGGCCGGGGACTGACGGACTAAGAGGGCACAAGACGGCGCAGCGGTCGACCCTTCTCCCCGGGAGAAGGTCCGGGAGGACCACTCACCTGCGGGGGCCGCAGGGGCTGCAGCGGTGCCCGAGGTGCCCGACGGAGCCCCAAAGTTGAAAGCCATGTCGCGGGAGCCGGGGACCAAGTCGCTACTCCGGGAACGCTCGGTGTGCTTGGCTTTTCGGTCCGGCCGGGAAACTGCAGCCCTGATCACCGAGTTCCGCCTCCTTTTTGGCCTAGACTAGGAGACGGGAAGGCAGCGAGGTTACAAGAGTGGAGGGTCAAGAGGAAATGCCTGAGTCTGGCTTGCTTCCGGGGCGTTTTCTGGCATCACGCGGTGCAGGTAGTCACAGCAAAGGTAATACGCTAGGAAGCTCGCGAGGGAATGCCGCCTGAGAGCCCTTAAAACTTGCCTTAAGGAGTTATCTTGGAAAAGATGTGCAGGAGCTGAAGTCGTTACTGTAGAGGTACAGGGTAGACACCTTAAAATGCATGCCTTGGTGTTATGGCTGAAGACGTAGCCTTATCAAAGAGCGGTCCTAGGAAGACCCAGGTTGGGGTTTGGAAGGCTCCCCTGAGAAATGATGTTTGAACCCATTTCTGAAAAATGAGTGGGCAAAGTAGAGGTAGGAAAGAGGTGATGTAGGAAGAACGAAAGATAACAGGATATTAATACTTATCTTGTATTTCCTATCTGCCAGACACTCTTCTAATCATTTTACATCTTTTTAATTTACTTCGCAACTATCCTGTGAAGTAAATTACTATTATCATTCCCATTTTATGGAATAGGAAAGAGGCACAGAGTGACAGGCTGGATTTAGTCTATGCTCTTAACCACTAAGCTGTACCCTGAGCACTGAACATGAGGGGTGTAACCTGACCCGATGAATGTCAGTAAATTTCCATTAGTCCTTAAACTAGCCCAAGCCAGATTTGGTCCACCCTGCATGCACAGAGGGCCAGCTGTGGCTGATAATTGACCCCAACAGAGGATGCAGCAACAGAGGGAATGAATTAGAAGGAAAATCATCACCCAGACCCTATTTCAAGCGAGAGATCTGACAAGAACCACGTCACTTCCTGTTTCCCGGCTGCCTTCGAGAATTTTTTTCCCTCCCCAGTACGCCTGCGTGGCCGCCATCTTGCTGCCTAAATCACATGTAAGCCCTGCTTCACCATACCTTGGGGAGTGAGAGCCAAGGAAGATCCTCTCAGCTCCTTGATCTGCGCATCGCAATAAAGTTGCTTTCTTAAAGACTGGTGACCAGATAATTGGCAAGTCTGAGCATGCCGGACAAGGACCCACCTTTTAGGGTTCGGTAATGGGGAGAATGGCCCCCAATGAGGCAAGTGAGCCTTTTAAATGCTAAAAGCCATGCACTCGAATTATACTTGCAGTATCATTTAATCCTGCTAATAATTCCGTAAGGAGGCTCTGTTATTAACTATGTTTTGCACTTAAAATGAGAAGACCAAGGTTTAGAGTTGCTTAGCGAAAGGAGGCGGAGCCAACATAGCTCTATAGACAGAAGCACCATGCCGTCCTTCTGCAGCAAAGACCTGAAAAACTAAGTAAAGCAGATACAAACGTCAATCCTGGAACCCTAAGTACCAAATGAAAGAATAAGGAACTCGATCAAGCACGGAATGGAATAAAAAACTGACAGAGAACAAGGAGAGCTACCGAACGAAGGTCCCATACCAGCTAATGTGGCCTGATTCGCCATCTTGGACTACAGCCACCAAAGAACTCAGGATGTACGGGAAGGCAACTCCATGGAGCTCCCAGCAGGAGACAGAGCATCCAGTAACCAGGGATACACGCTTCCCACCTCTCATCCTTCTTCTGTCTGCAACATCTGACACTTTCCAGTGGGCCATGGTTGCTCAGCAGGAGAGACACTAGCTCACTGCCACTGGGGTCCACCTCGCCCCCACCAGCCAGCCCCTTCAGTGCCATTTTTTTGTTTGTTTGGTTTGTTTTGGTTTGTGTTTTTTTTTTTTAATTTTATTTATTTATTTTTGACTTTTTTGTTGCTTATCTCTGTCTCCCTTCCTTCCTTTCTTTTCTCCTGCTCAGCTAGCCCTGTGTGTCATTCCCTCCCTTTCTTGACAGGCTGTGATTTTTTGGTTTGTCTACTTTGTTCTTTTTTGTTCTTTTCTTCTGTTTCTTCTCTCTTCTTTCCTTCCTTTCTTTTTCCCCGCCCACCCAGCCCTGTGCACCGCCCCTGCCCCTTGTGGAGGGGCTGTGTTGCACAACTTGGTTGGAAAGTAACTGCGCGACCTCCTCGGGTTAGCGCTGCCATCACCGACCGGCTCCCTCAGTGCCGTTTTATTGTTTGTTTTCTTTTTCTTTTTTTTGTTATTGTTTCTTCTCTCTCCTTTCCTTTCCTTTCTCCCATCCACCCAGCCCCGTGCACTGCCCCCAACTTCTTGGTGGGCTGTGCTGTACCGCTTGGCTGGACAGCCTCTGGAACACAGCCTCCCCCATAGGCCAGCTCCCTCAGTGCCATATTTTATACTTTTGTTTATCTTTCCCCTTTTCCTTTTCCTTCTCCCTCCCACCTAGGCCCATGCACCACCCATGCTGCTTCTCGACAGGCCAAGCCACACCACTTGGCTAGAGAGCCACCAGTACACCGCATCACAGGGTCAGCGTCGCCCCACCCGCCGAATCCTACCACACAGCCGTTTAATTTAATTTGTTTTCTTTTTATTTTTTTAGTTATTTTTAAACTTCATTTTTTTTGCTTATTTTAAAAAATAATTTTGTCTTTGTTTCTCTTCTTTCACCGACCCACTTAGCTCTGCGCATCACATCCTCTCCTTTCCCTCCTGCCTATCCGCACCACGAGCTGAGTGCCACACCCCCAAGCAGTACCAACATGGTCCCCCAGACCCCGCCCTGCACTGCTGTCTGGCCCCACCCTGTCTCCCCCAGTTGGTGCCACAAACTACCCATCCCTGCCCCTGCACCCCCGCTGGACACACTCTGCTGCACCATAGCTGTGACCCTGCCCACCTGGACAAGGTGGTGAGAAATATTGTGCCCACAGGTGAACAAGCAATAAAACACACCCAGCCTGCCTGCTCAGACATAACCAAATAAAACAAAAAAGCGGGACAAAACAATCAAATCTACAATCAAATGAACAAAATAATTCCTGAATGTCCCAGAGACAGCAGACAATATCAAAACACATACACAGGAGAGGATGACTCTAGAAAGTGACAAAAACAAAACACCAGATGACCTTCTGCTAGAAGAAAAAGCACCGGAACTACCTGATAGGGAGTTCAGAACACAAATATTCAGGGTTCTCCAACAGAGGAAGGAAAATGTAGACAAAAATAAGGAAAAATAGACAAAATCATGGAAAAAACAGACAAAACAATGGAAGAGATCGAAAATAATACAAGAACAAAATGTCAACCAGAAATTACACAAAAACAGCAATTAGAAATCCAAAAAATGAACACGATTTCAGAAATGGACAGTGCAATAGAAAGTTTTAGGAGCAAATTTGAAACAATGGAATTCAGGATCAGCAAAATTGAAGACAAATCCTTGGATACCACTTTGAGGAAAAATTAGAGAAAAGAACAAAGAAAAATGAAGAAACCCCAAGAACGATGTGGGATACAATCAAAAGCAAAAATTTGCATGTGATTGGAGTTCTAGAACAGAGGGAGAGAACAGAAAACGCAGAGAGGACCATTGAAGATTTGCTGATAGAAAACTTCCCTAGTATCATAAAAGACGAAAATCCCACTATCCAAGAAGCTCAACGAACCCCATATAGGATAGACCCTGTCTTAGTCTTCTAGTGCTGCTCTAACAGAAATACCACAAGTGGATGGCTTTAACAAAGAGAAATTTATTATCTCACAGTCTAGGAGGCTAGAAGCCCAAATTCAGGGCACCAACTCCAGGGGAAGGCTTTCTCTATAGGTTCTGGAGGAAGGTCCTTGTCATAAGTCTTCCCTTGGTCTGAGAGCTTCTTAGGCGCAGGGGCCCTGGGTCCAAAGGATGCACTCTGCTCCTGGTGCTGCTTTCTTGGTGGTACGAGGTCCCCAATTCTCTGCTTGCTTCCCTTTCCTTTTATCTCTTGTAAGATAAAAGGTGGTGCAGCCAACACCCCAGGGAAATTCTGTTTCCATTGGATCAGGGATGTGACCTTAGTAAGGGTGTTAAAATCCCACCTTAATCCTCTTTAACATAAAATTGCCATCACAAAATGGAGGACAACCACTCAATACTGGGAATCATGGCACGGCCAAATAGATACACACATTTTTTGGGGGACACAATTCAGTCCGTGACAGACTCCAAAAGAAAAACACCAAGACATGTCAAAATCACGTTTGTTAAAACCAAAGACAAAGAATCCTGAGAGCAGCTCAAAAAAAACAAAAAGTCACATACAAAGGGGAAAGAATAAGACTAAGCTCTGATTACTCAGCAGAAACCATGCAGGCAAGAAGGCAATGGGATAACATACATAAAATCTTGAAAGAAAAAAATAGCCAACCAGGAATAGTATATCCTGCAAAACTCTCCCTCAAATATGATAGAGAAATTAGGTCATTTCCAGATAAATAGAAGTTAAGGAAATATGTAAAAACCAAACCAAACTTATAAGAATTATTAAAAGGAGTCTATAGGATTGCTATGAGTTGGAATTGACTCAAAGGCAATGGGTTGGTGGGTTGGTTTGATTAGAGAACCAACAACAGACAACAACCTGAATCTAGCACATAAGACAGGATCAGCCAGATACCAACCGGATAGTGAACTCTCAAGGATAAAATAAAACTAAAAAATTTGCAACAGGGAACCAGAGAGGTCAATCTGTAAATGACAACAATGCCAGAACAATAAAAGGGGGAATAGACAGTGTAGGTATAGAACTTTCAAATGGGGAGGAAGTCAATGAATTATCAAGTATAAAAGACTGGTTTAAACTTAGAAAGATAGGGGTAAATTCCAAGGTAATCTCAAAGAAAGTTAAACCTACTCATCAAAATAAAGAAGAAAAATATAAAGTCTCAGTAAACACAAAATCTACAAAAATGAAAGAAACAAAAAACACAAGGAATTCAGCACAGAGGAATAAGAGGAACAAGGAAAATGTCAGCACAACAAAAAAAAGCACTACGAAATGACAGCAATAGACTCACACCTATCAATAATCACACTGAACACAAATGGCTTAAACAC